ATAGTTTATGACTTTATTCAAGATAAAATTATAATAACAAAAAAACTCTGTGAGATAGCTTGAAGCTTGATTAGATTTTAATCTTAATTTTAAAGTAAATAATAGCTCAGACTGAAAAAACTTTAAATAATATAGTTCAACTTTATAATATGAAAAGGTATTTATCTTTTCAAGCTATAAGACAATTATATATAGCTTGTACAGCTTCTGTATTACATTATACAGTTGAGATCTGATAAAAAAGCAGAAAAAGTATGTGAACTATTTTCAAATACTTTGAAACAAAGCTTTTAAAAAAAGTTAAATGTATTTAAAACATCTTCTATTAGAGTTATAAAAATAGAGATCTCAATTTCATCATCAGCTATTTAATTTAATAAAATTTGCATGAATTATACTTCAATAATTATAAAAATAATTGCATGTTACGGCGCTGTCGCTGGTAATATGGGATAATGTTGATCCGTTCCAACACTAACCATATTCGGTTGCTTAGATTGATCCGCTCCGATCCCCAACCAACCTATAAATATATTCAGCTACTCGTTCATTCTCATATTCTAATCCTCAGTTTAGTATTCTCGTCGCAGCTACCTAGTTAGATAGATAAATTGAAGCTTTTGTCTTTTTATCATTCATGCCTCTAGATTGAGCCATGATATTGCAAATTATTCAATTCAAAAGAGAGTATTTACTTCATATTTATTAGATATATCTAGAAAAGATTTATATATAATAAAATAAATTTTCTAAGAACTTATAAAAAATTTATATTCAAAGCTTCATAGAATATGTGTAATAATTAAATATTAATTGTCAAGTTTAAATGTAAAAACTCGGGTATAGAACAGAAACGAACGAGGACGAAAGGCAGAGGGGGATATCATGCACTCGTCAGTTTGATAAAAGCAGACAGACATTTCAGTTTAAAGACAGACGTAATAATTTAGTCAAGCCAGTGGAGGTTAAACTCAGTTTGTCACGTGATACGTCTATGAATCCTGTAAGATCGTCCTGCGTGTCACCATGGCAACCGCCTCAGTGTCAACATCGATCAACAACGCAACAGCAAGATTCAACTGTAGGTATCCAGGATGATGATGCTCCTGTATCTCAACTTGGGAAATCTCACTAAGAGATACAACATGAACCAGCCTTGGAATTGGGGATAGCGTTGATGTTATTCGCTTCCTTCCCATTGCACACGAATCTTGTAATGAGGTATGAATGTAACATTTTCACCTGCAACCCGAGTTGACAGACTGTACATGCATTTACTATATACTCCGTACCTGCGCCTATATACAAGGGATACAAGAAATAAAGTCAATTGCTAACTGAGAATCTGTATATCTACTGCAGGTGAAACTGACTAGTACCTTACCTGCTCATACCTACCCGATTTATTTACCCTTGCGCACCTCTCCCTATATGACCGCCCCCGACAGATGTTCGGTTGTTTATGAACAAAGGACCATACTTTGATGTTTACGTGATAAACACAGTTTGCATGTTTAGGATGCACCCTTGATGTATCGCTTTCACAAGATACCTTCAAAATAATACTTACATATGCTCTCACGCACACACAAGACTCGACAAACGAAGAAAAAAGGTACTGTGATAAGCATTCAATTCTTAAATAAACAATCCCTTATGAGCAAGTTATCATACTCGACTCTCCTTTTCTTTTTCCTTAACTAGAAGAAGAAAATATTTTTGTTCTCTTCACAAAACATTCCCCCAAAACTACAAAACTCCCCTTCCCTACATGTACTTAAGCCAACAATCCCGCCACCACGACCTCATCTGTCAAATAGCGCATATGTTGAGAAACAACAGGAACATAGCGCTGGATCCGCGCTTCTACAGCAGTATAGAAGGCCCACCACCACCACCACCATCACAGTTATCATCACAGCAGTTGCAGCAATACCGGCAGACGCAGCAGCAGGCCTCGGGAGCCTCGATAATCTCCGCACTCGTTGGTGCCATGATGATCCCCCAAGCGTCGCCAGCTCCGGTATTGCCGATATCCGTGTCCTCAAGCGCCGCCACCAATATCGGGCCAAACGGGGGACCCGCGCCCGTAGCATCTGTCGCGATGATACAGTCCGCAGCTTCGAGTCCGTCTCTAAGGGCGAGGGAGAGTGTTGTGGTGCCGGTGAGTAGGACAGGGACTCCGGTCAGTGGTGGTGCTGGAGGAGGGAATGTTAAGGTTGTGGTGAGGGTTCGAGGGTTTCTGCCTAGAGGTTAGTTTGTTAGCGTGTTTTTTACATTTTGTGGTGCATCCGGTTTGCCGGATTGGCTTGTAGTTTTGAAGATTCTAAGGACACATATAACCGAGTCATTGCAGAAATCAAACGCGGAGCAGAATGTCTGATATCGATGAACCCCGATACCCAGTCAACTACCCTCATGGCTCCTAGGAGCTCCAATGCACACGATCCGGCAAATTTTAGAGCAGCACAGAGTAGGGGAAAGGTCATTGAGGATAAGGCCTTTACCTTTGACAATTCCTTTTGGTCTCATAATAGAGAAGATGCGCATTATGCTGAACAAGAAGATGTGTATAACTGTCTAGGAGAGGAATTCCTGGATCACAACTTTGAGGGATATCACACCTGTATCTTCGCATATGGTCAAACGGGATCAGGTAAAAGTTACACAATGATGGGCACTGAAGACCAACCTGGCTTAATTCCACGGACATGTGAGGATCTATTCCAGCGCATCGAGAGCTCGGAATCACCTAATATCAGCTACAATGTACGCGTTTCATACTTCGAAGTATATAACGAGCATGTACGAGATCTGCTAGTACCCCGAACAGACACACCATATTACCTCAAAATTCGGGAATCGCCAACGGACGGACCATACGTAAAAGACCTGACAGATGTGCCTGTTAGAAGTTTTGCGGAGATTCTGCGGCTCATGCGCAGAGGGGATGCCTCGCGTACCGTGGCTAGTACGAAAATGAACGACACCAGTTCGCGGTCTCATGCGGTATTCACAATTATGCTGAAACAGATTCATCACGACTTGTCAACTGACGAGACGACTGAACGAACAGCGCGCATCAGGCTAGTTGACCTTGCTGGATCAGAACGGGCCAAAGCTACCGAGGCAACCGGGCAGAGACTCCGGGAGGGATCGAATATCAACAAATCTCTAACGACGCTTGGCCGGGTTATTGCTGCTTTGGCAGATAACAAACCCGGTCGAATACGCAAGAATAAAGAGATTGTCCCGTACCGCGACTCTATCTTGACTTGGCTATTGAAAGATAGCTTGGGTGGTAATTCCAAGACCGCGATGATTGCGTGTATAGCCCCGTCAGACTACGAGGAGACTCTCTCCACGTTACGCTACGCAGACCAAGCGAAACACATCCGCACCCGTGCCATCGTCAATCAAGACCATGTTTCAGCTGCAGAGCGTGACGCGCAGATTGCAGAGATGGCTGAAATAATCCGCACGCTCCAGGTTAGCGTGAATCAGCAGGCCATCCGGAAACGGGAGAGTGAGATGCAAAATGAGAAGCTGGAGGAGTACCAGGGGCAAGTTGTCAAGATGCAACGGTTAATGGAGGAGACGAAGATGGTTAGTGAGTGTAAGATTCGCCAGCTGCAGACGGAGAACGATGCGTTGCGGAGGCATTTAAAGCTTGCGCTGGAGTCGTTGAAGAATCCGATCCCTCCCGTGGAGATTGTCAAGAGGAAGAAGAGGGAGAGTGATTGGTTCTCTGTTCCTGAGAAGAAGGTTGCGGATGCTGCAGGGATGATGGGGGAGGGTGAGAAGGAGAATGCTACGCCTACAACGGAGCCTGAATGGGTTTGGGAAGATGATGAGGATGATGATCATTATCATGTGGACGGGGTTGCTGATGCGGGGCAATATGAGGCTATGGAGGTGCAGGCGAAGTTGGAACAGCTGCTGCTTGATGTCAACTTTTTCCGGCAGAAAGTTGCGGATGATCATGACCGGTTCGGGATCATGAGACCCTCTTCGTCGGCTTTTGACAAGAGTGGGGAGCGGAGAGTTCTTGTGGATGTTCGGTTGAACTGATGGGGCAATTTCGGGGTGCATTTTTCTTTCTTTGTTATATTTTCGTTTCGTCTTCGTCTTCGGTTTTGCTCTCGATTTGGTGGATGTTTTTTGGCGCCTTTTTTTGGTTTTTTCTTTCACTTGTTCTGTGATACCTTGGGGTCTGTGGGTAAACGAAGGGTTAGTTAGATATTGCTTTTTCTTTTTTATGGCTTTCCATTTTCTCCCTTTGGTTTGTTATATTTTCACGGGAAATTGGGGATTTGGGGAATGTTTCATGTTCTCTTTCGTTTTTTCTTTCTTTCTTTTTCCTTTTTCCAGTTATGTCTGCTTGACAGCTGTTCTGTTTTAATGTTGTTGCTTTAAGTGAAATGGACAACGAATACAATGAATCACGAGAGGAATGAAGATGTCATTGACGTATCAATGCATAGCCAACAGACTGTACTGTACAAGTGATATTATCTCGATGTGGACGGTATGTGACGGCCAGTGTAAATGGTCCTGATGAAAGGGTTGTGCCGTTGGGCATTGACGCGGTGAATCAGAATGGGGGGACATTCCACCCAAAGGAAAGCTGTCTATTAATAGTTGTATAGTATATGATAATTCCCTCTTCCCATGATTTTCTACTGTGTAAATATCACCAGAATTGATAGTTGTCTCTCAGGCACAGTAATCAACCATCGCTGCTCATGACGGGCGCGTATTTGCGTTGTTGGCGTTGGCTGACGAAGAAAATCAGCCGCCAACCAGCACCAGCGACAAGCCCAACTCCCGCCATCACTAAACCACTTGATGCTACGACTATTACGCTTCCACGACCTCTATCGCAGCTACAGCTACAACTACAGCCATTTAATACCTCTTCTACGTCGTCTAGGGATGCTTTATCTGATCCTGCCAGGGAGGCAGACAGTTCAATAAGAGACGCGACTAGTACAGGCTGCAAATAAACATAATCAACGCACTTCTGGAGGTGTTCCGCCCGCTGCAAACTCATCACAGCACATTACCACAGCCAACGTGACAATGAATGGAACTTCCCGATCGACTAATCCAACACCTCAAACCGCTACGGTTAATACTACTGCTCCCGCTACTACTACGATTCCTACTACCACTTCTGCCGCCGCCGCTGCCGCTGCTCTAACAGCAAATGCTCCCGCTTTTGTGGTAAATCCACAGGATAAGACCATTTCACCTGCGGATTCCACACAGAAGATCTCTGGCGCGGAGCTAAAGAAGAGAGCAAAAGCTGAAAAAGCCGCGAGACGGGCGAAGGAGAAGGCAGATCGTGAACAGGCAACTGGAGATGCTGCTACTGGCAGTGGAAATCACCCACCACCAAAGAAAGGCGGTCCTGGATCGCAGTCGCAGAAAAATGCTGTTGCGGGTGGTTCGGGTGGAAAGGGACAGAAGCAATTAGGTGGTGGCAGTGGTGGAGGCGGTAATACTGTTGGTCTGGGACGGCGCGGCTCGATTGTTCATGCGAGTCTCACGGAGTCATCGAAGAAGAAGAAAAGGGAGGAAGATTTGATGGCTGCTGATAAGGCGGTTGCGGTTTTTAGTCACTTGTCGTTGCAGAAGCGTAGGACGACGATTGCTGGGGCGGGGAAGGAGATCCATCAGGCTATCCTAGTCCTAGGGTTGCAGTTGAAGGATTATGTGGTTTGTGGAAGCAGTGCAAGGTGTGTGGCTATGTTGTTGGCTTTTAAGAGGGTGAGTGATATTTAAAATTCTTTTTCTTATCTTTTTTTTTTCGGTTTTTTCGTAAACGATGGAACATTTGGGTGAAGCGGATTGCGGATGGTAATCCGGTGATTATGGACATCAGGGCACACCGCTCACCCACTGCGATTGTTCTAGGTCATCGAGTCGTATACCACACCCATTGGAACGTCCCTTGCCCGTCACTTGACGACCCATCTCTCCCACCAGATTTCCTATCTTTCATCCTGTCGACCTCTTTCTATAAGCCAAGGAAACGCGATTCGCACCATAAAACTAGCGATTTCCGCTGTTGACCCATCCTGTCCCGAGAGTAAAGCCAAAGAGACCCTTTGTAATTTCATTGATGCGTTCATCCGCGAAAAGATAACGGTTGCGGACCAGGTGATTGCAAACAGCGCAGCTCAAAAAGTTAATGACGGCGATGTCATCTTGTGTTACGGTGGAAGCAACATTGTTCAGCAGACTTTACTTACTGCCCACAGTCAGGGTAAAAAGTTCCGCGTCTCCATCATCGATTCACGTCCCCTTTTCGAAGGCAAAAAGCTCGCTCGTACCCTTGCCAATGCGGGTCTACAAGTACAATACTCCCTGGTCCATGCCATTAGCCATGCGGTAAAAGATGCTACCAAGGTTTTCCTAGGCGCCCACTCCATGACTAGTAATGGACGTCTGTTTAGCCGTGTCGGTACCGCTATCGTGGCAATGACAGCAAAGGAGCGGGCAGGCGGAATCAATATCCCCGTCATCGTCTGTTGCGAGACCGTCAAATTTACCGACCGGGTAGCGCTTGACAGTATTGTCCTGAACGAACTTGCTGACGCAGACGAGTTGGCTGCCAGCGAACCTCCAAGACAATTAACAAGTCTACCATTCCCCGCCCAACAGAATCCCCAAAAATTTGGCCCGAAGACAAATCAAGACTCCGCATCAAACAATGAGACATCATACCCAGCTGTCATGGATCCGAACAACCCACTCCGATACTGGAAAGAAAAACCAGGTTTACAGCTGCTGAATATCATGTACGATGTCACTCCGGCGGAGTATATTGATATGGTCATTACGGAGATGGGGAGTTTACCACCCAGCGCTGTCCCAATCGTCCACCGGATGAGTACCAACTCTTAATTTTAAGATATACAATAGGGCCTTTGTAGGGAAAAAATAACAGTTTCTTTCGGTATCGGTTGCAAAATTATTAACTTGACAGGCAAAGATTCTTTTATATTATCATACTGCAAATTATACAGGGTTTCTTTCTTCTTTTTATTTTACAGAAACAATCTTTCCATTTTCTCCATGTTGCTCCTCATTCATGAATACACCATGAAAGCGGATGGAAATTATACAGATTCCAGCACTCATGATGACATCGGCCAAAATAATAAGGGCATATTGATGGCACCACACCTTACGTCTCTTGGATGCCTATTCTCCGTGTAGGCTCCCAGCGCGTGGAAGGACTTATTGTTTCACACCTGTCGGATAGTTGACCATACGAATTTGGCACAATCAAGAAATTTATAGGATTGTCATCGATACGATGGATTCAACCCCTTTCAAAGTGTAGGATGTCTGAGTGATTGTATTGGCAGCTGTCTCCTGCGGGCTTCCATGCTGTGTTCCGGGCGCTAGTCTGTAATAGGAAGCCTCGAAGCCCCACACAGTGTAATTTTAAAATTACTGTTAACTAACTGATTCTTCGTTCGGTGATTCCGCTAGTTATTATTATTATTATTATTACTTATTTAATGCCTGGAGGCACGTGATCAGCTGACTAAGAATAGTCTGCCGTCGCGGCCACAGCACCTCCCTAAGGGTATCAGGCGTGCCAGTGCAGCAGCTAGTCTGCTGCCTGACATGTCTAGTCAGCCGAAGCCCTCTTGAGAGTCTATGTACAGAGTAGCCCCTGTCCTGGAGGTTCTGAATGGCGTAGTAGCTGAAGATTACAGGACTGAGGAAGCCAAGGGCTTCTAGGATGGTGTGTAGAGGTGATGAGAAATGTATATAAGAAGCATAGGAAAGAGAGAGGGGGAGAGAGAAGTCAGATGTTGAACAGGTTCTAGTAGCAGTGTTGGATGTCAATGAAGAAGCAGGTATTAGTGCACCAGATAGAGAAGGTTGTAGCTTCTCTTACTGTGCTGAGAAGTCAGTCAATTGCTTTCTTTGATTCTCAGCATGCTTCAGAGATTTTAATTCATTCAATGTTCTGGTCTTTCCAGCAAAAAAAGAAGTGCTTGAGGGTCTTATCTCAGCTGCAAGAGCAGGTGAGAAGTGTGTCATCATGTGCTCATCTGTGATGATAGACTGCAAAGTCACTGTGATCTGTTCTAGCTGCCAGCAGATGATCTAGATTCCTTCAGAGAAGAGTGAGCTCAGAGAAGAGTTCTTTTGACATTGGGATATTGAGGTTCTTGTATCATGATGTGCTATTGAAGCTTCAGTATTGTTGCAGTGAGGCATTGAAGTGTTCTTTAGTATAAGATTTGATCTGTGCCAGAGTCAGAGTGTGGTGAGTGCATTTCATTGTGCAGGCTGACTTGGCCACAGCATCTGCAGCATCATTGTCTGGAATCCCAGCATGGCTGGAGCATCATTGAACATAGATCTGTCTCAGATCAGCTGGACCTGGGCTCTGTTTTGTTCAGAACCTGTGAAGTTCATTGAACTTAGCAAAGATGAGAAAAGATGTTTGTGTGAGTGTGTCTGTATGAAGTCTTATTACAGTCTCTTCATTGTCTAGAGCCACTATAATGTGCTGTGTGAACATAGAGAAGGGGTTCTGTAGCACTGTCTCAAGATCAGCAACTGCTGCAAGCACTTCAGCATCAAAGACCTCAGTGATGCAGCTCAGAGACAGCTTATCAAGCTTCAGAGATTGATTTGTTCCTCAGTATAGACAGTAGCCTTCATCTGAAACTTCTTGACTGTCTTTGAAGCCATCAGTATATGTGATGAGATTGAGAAGAGATACAGCTTTCTGAAGTCAGTTTTGAAAAGCTGCTGGTCCTGCAGCTTGTCTCACAGTCTCAATTTCTAGTGTCTTTTGCTCTCTATTTGATATGTCAGAATTGTTTCAAGAAGGCAAGAACTCTGAGCTGAGTGTGATGGCTGTCATTTTAATGTTTCATCTAATTCATTTAAAACATGAGATGTATCATCTTTGATGTAGAGAATGTGACAGATCAGCTGCAGCTATGTGAACAGCTAGTCAGTCATGTATTCTTTCTAGCCAGGCTTTGACTGGGCCTCAGCTTGATTTGTGTAGAAGAACAGAGGTAGGCATTGTGGCAAAGACAGGTAGAATGGCTTGAGCAGCATTGTTGAAGACTATCTGAATCTTGTCAATGACTGTCTGAGAGGTTCACTTTGAGAACCAGATCTCAGCTTCATAAAACAGAGTGCTGAAGGCACAGCTTTAAGTTGCTTGTCTGAGCAAATGTGTTTGATTTCTGAATGAGACTTCATTTAGTGATTTAACATGTTCTGTAACAATTCTGACTTGAGTGCACACAAGGTGAATATGTTCTCTGAAGAGTAACTTTCTGTCAAAGAAAACCTCTAGCCATCTGGTGTAGTTATTGAGGGAAATTGTCTGTTCATTAAAGAAGATGAAGGGCTCTGAGTACTTGATCTTTTTATGAAAGTATTGAAGCTCTGTCTTGGCTGGGTCAAATGAGATTCCATTGTCAATATCTCATTTCAGAGTGTGATTGAGAGAATTTTAAAGCTGACTTTCTACTCACTCAAGAAAGCTTCCAGTCTTCAGGATTGCAATGTTGTCTGTGTACCCAAACTGGTCTTTGATAAGCTGGAGGAGGGGTTCTACATAGAGCAGAAAGAGAATTGATGAGATGAGAAATCTCTGTAAAAGATCACAGAGAATCTGAAACATCTTCAATTGAACATCATCTAGTTGAATCAAAGCTAGTCATTGATCAAGAAAAGATGCTACTCACTTTATCAGAACTGCTGGCCAGCTCTGTTCCTGTAGACATCTTAGAAGCTGGTCTTGAAGAACTCTGTCAAAGGCCTCTTTGACATCTAGAGTGATCATGCTGGTCAGAAGGTGTTTGTCCCATGTTCCTTGTACATCACAGACTAGTGCAGTGATGAGATCTACTGCAGACCTCTGTTGAACAGCACTACACTGATCTTCTGCTAGAATGTGATGATGAAGAGTGAGATGAGACATTCATCTAGCTATCAGACACTCCAGCCCTTTGCTGAGACAGAATAGCAGTGCAATTGAGCAGTAAGACTTTGATAGAGAGTAATCTCTTTTCTCTGACTTTGAAATAATCACCATCTCAGCCTTCTTGAAGCTCTGGAGGTGGATTTCTTGATCTATACAGTGTTGAAAGAGTAGAACAATTTGATTGCCTATCACTGACCATGTCTTTTGAAGAATCTTGGCTGTAATGCCATTCAGACCAGAAGATGTGCTAAGTGTCTAGCAGATGGCTCTGTAGACTTCCTGCTCTGTAAGAGGCATTCAGAGTATCTCTCTGCATGAAATTGTTGATGTATGCTCTGAGATATCTTCTGTGTCAAGATGTCTGATCAGAAGTGTCTCATGCAGTAGAGAAGATTTGCCAGCACAAGATTATTCTAGGTGTCCATCAGGATGTCATAAAGAAGGAGTGAAGTCTTGAGGTTGGTATTTATGCCATTTGACAATCTTGTAGACATCTGATAAGGAGAAAGCCTCCTCAATTCACTGATGATTTCATGCTCTCTTAGCTTTTCTAATTTTCATCTAAAATGCCACTTGTTCTGATTGACAAGGGCTGTGTCTACATGCTGCATGATATACTCTTCTGGCTATCTTGACTGCTGGGGTCCACCATGAGGCATGATGACTCTTGAGTCCTGGGGTGAGAGAGCAGGAGTCTTGTAGAGTCAGTTGAAGAGATTTCATGATGTCCACTGCTTCCTCATTCATGTTCTCATAGATCAGTGAGGAGAAGAGAGTGAGTAGTTGCAAAAAGTGATCAGCATCACAGATCACAAAACTAAGCTTCTTCTTCTTAATCAATTGAGTCTGAGTCTGTGATAATTGAACTGTTGTGATAAGAGTTTCATGATCTGAGATGCAGTGCAGTTCAGAAGCAATATGACAGATAGCTGAGTTGGCAGCACAGAAGACAAGATCAAGTGTGTCTTCTTGTCTATGTGTAGAGGATTCAGCTGGGTTGAGAAGCTGGAGTTTCAGAGAGATTGCTCAGTTATACAGATTCTCTTCTGCTTGAGAATGTCTATCAGTTGTAGAGTCTCATGCTGTGTGTCTAATATTAAAGTCTTCTAATGCCATCCAGAGGATGGTCTCTGTGGTGTGTGTAAGAGAGAGGAGGTCTTGAAGGCCTTGACCTGCATCTGTGGCACCAGATGAGGTGTTGTATATGTTGTAGATATTAGCTCTTTTGAAGTTAGAGATCTTAACTGAGACACAGACAACATTTCTTGAGATATCTGCTATAGATTGAGTTGATGCAAGAACCCTTCTATTTCTGACATAGAGCAGTACTCTGGGCCTCTTGGTCCAGTTGAAGAAGAGCAGAGTGAAGTGTTTGTATGAGAGATGGCTTTTGAAGAGGTGGGTGGAGAGGTCTGTAGCTATTCAGAGTTTCTGAATGACCACAATGTCACAGACTCTTTCATCTGCTAGTGAGAGAGTGATGTCATGAAAGCTTGACTGTCTTTCTACATTGACTTGATATACAGTGAGTGTAGATTTATGAGAAGAGCTGTGACTGCTCTTCATTAGTGAAGGTTCAGACTTGATGTGATCTTGATGCCTGTTTGAGAGCAGGTCATTGAGTCTGTCTGGTTGCTCTGGGAGCTAGTGACTGGTGTCAGCAGAGCTGAGAGAGGGGATGAGATGAAGTCTCTAGAGTTTAGCTCTGGGTTGCTCTTCTCTGCTGAAGTTTGATGAGCTGAGATGAATGCTCTTCTGTCAGCTTCATGTATTGAGTGTAGCTGACAGCAGAAGATGTGTTCTATACATTCAGAGACTATTTTGAGCCTTGCTGAACAGTTAGTGCTGAGAGTGAAATGAGAATCAAGACAGTTGCAGCAGCAAGCTGATGTTTGACATCTGTCTGAGTGTGTGAAACTGCTGCACTTCT